ACACCAGCCATCGTATGCCGGCCGTGAAAGCCTTCGACAATACATAGACAGGAACTTCATGGGGTCAATTTAATTTTCTATTATGCTTAAAACAAGAATACTGTATGTAAGCAGGGAAGGTAAATACCATTTAAGGAGAAGCCTTCCCATTTTTCCTCTTTCGTCACAGGAATGCCTTTTCTATAAGAGCATTCCCTGCCACTAATGGCAGAGTTGTTCAGAATCGTCATTTTTTAATTGATATGCAAAGCCATGTAGACATAATCAATTTATGGATAGATAAGTCCCATTGAAGCAAAGGATTCTCCCTCTCTCTCAAGTAAAAACTTATAACATTTTAATACCCATGTCCTCCAGAAGATGGCTAGACATACCAATAGCTGGTTATGATGCTGCTGTGAGCAAAAACTACCTTCTGTTGTTTTTTTTACTATCTCAGTTTGGCTCTGGGCACAAAGATGGTGGCAGAGGAGGAGGAGAGTCATTTTCCTGTTAGGATAAAAGTATCCAAAGATGACTTTCATCCTAACTTTCTCCGTAGATTCTCTGTAGTTCTTACTCTGTAGATCTCTGGTGATAAAAAAAATAAATTGCTTCGAAATAGACCCTAGTCTAGCGGTGCATAAGGTACTCTGACTAGTTATCGTTAAAGTCTACTAGTAATTGCAGTTTATACTAACCAAGGTATTGCAGCAATTTAAACTGGAGGTTACCAGGCCTCTTTACACAATGACTGCATAAAAGAAAAGATGTGGGCGAAGCCTGTGCTATCTGAAGCATCTGGGACAAGATGTGTTTCCTGCCTCCGCAGGGCAGAGGTGTCCAGACTTTCTTTCAATCTCTTCACCCATTTGCCTACTCTGAATCTGCCTCTTTGAGCCTTTGACTGGCATAGCTCTTTCGTAGTACTATAGACACCCCACCCCATCCCCTGGCAGCTACTTCCATCAACCTTGGCTAGAAATATCTAGAAGGTACAGGACTGACTACACTGCATGTTGCTCAGGAGAGCTGAGAAAGCTGTAGCCCAGTTTTTTTCAAACTTGGGAACTTTAAGGTCTGTGGACTTCAACTCCCAGAATTCCCCAGCCAGCATGGCTGA